CAGAAAGTTAGAAAAACAGTCACAGAAATGGAATAAAAAGGTCAGAAATAGGAAAAAAAGTATGGTCAGAAAATAATAAAAAGTAATAAAAGTCGGACAGAAAGTGTCAGACAGACGGAAACTTAGAAAAAACAGTTATAAAAACAAAACAAAAGGGTCGGAAATTACAGAAAAGTACGGTCAGAAAGTAATAAAAATGAATAAAAGTCGGACAGAAAGTGTCAGACAGACGGAAACTTAGATAAAACAGTTATAAAAACAAAAAAAGGGTCAGAAATTACAAAAAGGTACGGTCAGAAAGTAATAAAAATGAATAAAAGTCGGACAGACGGAAACTTAGAAAAAACAGTTATAAAAACAAAAAAGGGTCAGAAATTACAAAAAAGTACGGTCAGAAAGTAATAAAAATGAATAAAAGTCGGACAGACGGAAACTTAGAAAAAACAGTTATAAAAACAAAACAAAAGGGTCGGAAATTACAGAAAAGTACGGTCAGAAAGTAATAAAAATGAATAAAAGTCGGACAGAAAGTGTCAGATAGATGGAAACTTAGAAAAAACAGTTATAAAAACAAAAAAGGGTCAGAAATTACAAAAAGGTACGGTCAGAAAGTAATAAAAATGAATAAAAGTCGGACAGACGGAAACTTAGAAAAAACAGTTATAAAAACAAAAAAGGGTCAGAAAATACAAAAAAGTACGGTCAGAAAGTAATAAAAATGAATAAAAGTCGGACAGACGGAAACTTAGAAAAAACAGTTATAAAAACAAAAAAGGGTCAGAAATTACAAAAAAGTACGGTCAGAAAGTAATAAAAATGAATAAAAGTCGGACAGAAAGTGTCAGATAGATGGAAACTTAGAAAAAACAGTTATAAAAACAAAAAAAGGGTCAGAAATTACAAAAAAGTACGGTCAGAAAGTAATAAAAATGAATAAAAGTCGGACAGAAAGTGTCAGACAGACGGAAACTTAGAAAAAACAGTTTAAAAAACAAAAAACGGTCAGAAATTATAAAAAAGTACGGTCAGAAAGTAATAAAAGTCGGACAGAAAGTGTCAGACAGACGGAAACTTAGAAAAAACAATTATAAAAACAAAAAAGGGTCAGAAATTACAAAAAAGTACGGTCAGAAAGTAATAAAAATGAATAAAAGTCGGACAGAAAGTGTCAGATAGATGGAAACTTAGAAAAAACAGTTATAAAAACAAAAAAAGGGTCAGAAATTACAAAAAAGTACGGTCAGAAAATAATAAAAAATTGAATTTAAAAAAAAAAAATTTTTTTTGTTAGTGTTTGGAATATAACATATGATCTCCCTGTATTGAAATATGACATATATATATATATATATATAGAAAAAGAACGTGTCTCTCTTATGACGATATAATATACTATGTTAAAAGACAGGATCACAAATGTCCTTGCAAATTGCAGGATCCTTGCCCCTTGTACAGAATATTGCGTCATGTGGTTGATTTCACCTATCGTTCCTCTTTTTTCCTCTCTCTCTCTCGCGCGCGCCGTCGCCCCTCCCCCTCCCTCATTCCAACTTTGACGACATATATTTTTTTAAAAAATATTTATATGCACTTTTCTATACTTATTTCTTCATTTGAATAAATGTTTTACTTTGCGTTTGAAAAAAAACTAGTGTAGATATTTACCTGTTTCGTTATGTTATTAATATTTTTTTTTTTTTTTTTTTTTTTTTAACAACATTCTGTCATTCATGCACTTTATTAAAGTGCAATTAATTATTGCCATTCAGATCTTTATAATGTAATAATATATATATATATATTTTTTATATTTTATAAAACAAATTTTATAACAGTATTTGTAATTGTTGACAAATTTAATTATATGTATATATATTTTTTTGGACACTTTTTTTTATTCTTTTGGTTGTATTTTTTTTTATTTCCTTTGGTTATTTTTTATTTTAGTTATTATTTATTTTAATTATTATTAAATTTAGTTATTTTTTATTTTAGTTACTATTTATTTTAATCATTATTTATTTTAGTTGATAATTATTTTAGTTATTTTTTATTTTAGTTATTATTTATTTTAATTATTTTAGTTATTTTTTATTTTAGTTAATAATTATTTTAATTATTTTTCATTTTAGTTATTATTTATTTTAGTTATTTTAGTTATTATTTATTTTAGTTATTTTTTATTTTAGTTATTATTAATTATTTTAGTTACTATTTATTTTTGGTATTTTTTATTTTAGTTATTATTAATTATTTTAGTCACTATTTATTTTTGGTATTTTTTATTTTAGTTACTATTTATTTTAATTATTATTTATTTTAGTTTATAATTATTTTAGTTATTTTTTATTTTAGTTATTTTTTATTTTAGTTATTATTTATTTTAGTTATTTATTTTAGTTATTTTTAATTAGTATCTATTTTATTTTTAAATTTTTATTTTTTATGTATTTTTATTTGCAATTTTGTTTTATTTATTATTTTATTTATTTTATTCTTATTTATTCTATTAGGTATCTATTTTTTTTTATTTATCAATTTAGATGTATTTTTGTTTATTTATTTTATTGTCTATTTTTTATTAATTTTTATTAATTTTTAATTTTATTATTAATTTTTCCTTTTTATTTTATTAATTTTATTCCTTTTTGCATTTTACTTTATTTTTATATATTTTCTTCAAAGTTAACTTAAAATATTACACGGAAAAAAATCAATGAGTATATGGAGAATCGAACCCAAGTTCAACGCACACAAATTGAAAGCGCTAACCAATACACCACAAACGACAGATATTTTAAAAAGAAATTTTCTCACATTTTGAATGATTATTTCTCTAGTGTAATTTTTTTCCTTTTTTTTTACCAAATTAAATGCGAATTTAATTTTAAGAAAAATATTATACAAAAATGGAGTAAAAAAAAATGCAAAAAATAAAAATAAATAAATAACAAAATAAATAAATAATAAAATACATATATAAATAATAAGGTAAATAAATAATAAAATATATAATTAAAAATTCAATACTAAAAATAAAGAAATAATAAAATAAAAAAAAAAATTCGAAACTAAAATTATTAAATAATTAATTAAATAAATAAAATTTCGAAATTAAATATAAATTAATTTTTAAAAATAAATAAAAAAAAATTGAAAAAAAAATAAAATAAAAGAAATAAAAAAATTTTTATTTAATATTAAATGAAAATTATTATTTATTATTAATATTTTTATTTATTTATTTATTAAATAACTAACACGCGTGGATTTTGCCTTCTTATATATTGAAGCAACGTAACGATATTTCTCATCTCGCGGCACAAGCTAATTGATCTTTCCAGCGCGCTTGAACCCGATAATTATCATTTACATATTATATATGCGATCGTGTATTACCGGGAGCCAGAAACAGCAGCCGGCACATGTACACGTCCAATACTATATATATATACAATATTCGCGGTGCTCGTTCCCTCGTTAGTGTTCTCTTAAAACCCTTAATCAGAGACGAAGTACTCCTCGAGATAGAGAGAGAGAGAGAGACCTTATAGGAAGAATGTAACCCACCTGTAAAGCGAAAAAGGCAAGATCTTAATCATCAAACAGATTTACAGATTTTTCGCTTCTTTCCACATTGACGTACTTTGTTTTCCATTTTTTTTTTTTTTTTATTTTTTTTTATTTTATCAAAACAGTTTATTTATTTGTATTATTTTTTATTTTTTTTTCCCATATATAAAAATTAATAGGGTCAGTTGGGGTAAATGGAAACAAGAGGTTTTGGAGCTTAATTTACAAATTTAAAATTAAGTTCAAAAATCAATATTTTAACCTTAGATCACCTGTAAGGTAATTAGTATTTTTACTATTTATATTTCTATAATTTATATTATTAATTTCTATTTTTTTATTATTTATTTTTAATTCTATTTTTATTATTATTAATTTCTATTTTTTTATTATTTATTTTTAATTCTATTATTATTATTATTATTATTATTATTATTATTATTATTATTTTGTAAAAAACTATTAAGCCAAGAAAGTAAAATAATTTTGCAAAAATTTCGATTAAAATTCATTAAGTTTTAATCGTTTTATAATTGTTTTTGTAATATTAAGTGACAATTGGCGTGCGAGCATCAAATGGCTCACTTGGTTAAGGCGCCTAATTTTCTGTACCTAAGCGCGCTCACCTCGTAGTCGGGTTCGAATCCCGCTGCAATCTTTTTTTTTTTTTTTTTTAATTTTATTAACCCGATGTATTTACTAATTTATTTGTCTCATTCTTTTTTTGTTTTAAAAATAATTCTTTTTATCTTTATTATTATTATTATTATTATTATTATTATTATTATTATTATTATTATTTTGCGCAAAGGGTAAAAGTGGAAATCTAGAAAATTGTTATTATTATTCTCATTATTTTGCGCAAAGGGTAACAGTGGAAATCTAGAAAATTGTTATTATTATTATTATGATTATTTTGTAAAAAACTATTAAGCCAAGAATGAAGAATAATTTTGCAAAATTTTCGATTAAAATTCATTAAGTTTTAATCGTTTTATAATTGTTTTTGTAATATTAACTAATAATTGGCGTGCGAGCATCAAATGGCTCACTTAGTTAAGGCGCCTAATTTTCTGTACCTAAGCGCGCTCACCTAGTAATCGGGTTCGAATCCCCTATCAATTCTTTTTTTTTTTTTTTAATTTTATTAACTCAATGTATTTACTGATTTATTTGTCTCCTTTTTTCTGTTTTAAAAATAATTCTCTTTATTATTATTATTATTATTATTATTATTATTATTTTGCGCAAAGGGTAAAAGTGGAAATCTGGAAATTTTTTATTATTATTATTGAAATATTTTTTTATTTATTTAATAAAAAATAATTTATTTAGTTATTGTTTAAAATGAAAGAAAAAAAAATTTTTTTTCACATTATTTTATTTATTATATTTTAATTAATTTTTTTTTTTTTTTTAATTTTTAGGTGACGATCAATATCGTGGAGCGGGCGGAAGTAGTAGCGGAAGTCCTCCCGCAAGTCTTCTCGTTGTACCTCAACCTTTGACTGTTAAACCCTCACATCCATCACATCTGAATCCACATCTTGGAGGACCACATAATCATCCTCCGCGAAAATACCAATGCAAAATGTGCCCTCAGGTGAGTGGAAAAAAAAATTTTTTATTTATTTATTTATTTTTTTTATTTATTTATTATTTAGTAATTATAATTATTAATACATTAATAATTTAGTAATTATTATTACTATTTAATAAGAAATATTAATTATTTAATAATTATAATTATAACCATTTAATTATTTAATAATTATTTTTGTCAGTTTTTAAAATTAAAATTTTATATTTAGAATTTGAAATTTTTTTTTTTTTTTTTTTTTTCATTTGCAACAAAAACTATAGAAAGAGAATTAAAAAAAAATTTATAATTTAATATTTAAATTATACAAAAATTTTATAGATTATAAATTATTTTGGAAAAAAAAACAATTTTCAAACTTTTAACGGGCAAAAAAAAAAAAAATTTCCGAAAGGATTAGGCGTTAATCCCTGAATATAAATATATATATATATTTTTTTTTCACTAAAATATATAAGCATGGGAAAGTCCCTGCGACAAAAAGTGCAATAAAATTCGTTTTTAAAGAAAAATACTTTTACCTATGTTTTGAAGAAAGATGGGTTATAAAATATGATGAAAAGATAATATGGGGCGCACAACGAGAAAATGACAAAAATTGCTACCGATGAGTCCTCAAGTGCAATAAATATAAAAAAAAAAAAAAAAAAAAAAAAAAAATTGTTAAAAGCAATAAACGTGCCATTTCTTTTTCATTTTTCATTTTTGGGGATCCGTTATTGAAAAATAACCCGTACATTTTTATAGCAGGGAATTTTTTTTTAACCCTTTTTTTTTTACTCACTTTTTGGCCCGTTTCTATACTAAATTTTTTGAGAAATTATATGGAAGCACAGACATACAAATGGACAGATGGAAAAAAAAATTTTTTTTTTTAAAGTAATATTTTTTATTTTCTCTTTTCTTTAAGGGGATAATAATTATTTTCAAAATGAATTTAAATTAAAATCAATTTTTATTTTTTAGGGGAAAATATTTATTTTCAAATGAATTAAAATGAAAATCAATTCAAAAAAAAAAATAAATAAATAAAGTCGTCGCTTAAGTTCTATAATTTGAATTTAAGACAGAATTTAATTTTAGTCGTCGCTGAATTTAAGTCGAAATTTAAATTAAGTAATCGTTGAAATTAATTTAGAATTTAATTTCAATTATCGGTGAATTGAAATTAATTTTTTTTTTTTCAAATTAAGTCGTCACACTTAATTATCAACAAGCAATTTTAATTAAAATTATTTTTAAAAATAGTTTGAAAATTTTGAAACTCATTTTTTTTATGCGCAATAGATCCTTTTTTTTGGATTATTTCTATGCGCACACAAAAAACTTTCAATTATTATTAACATTGTACAAAGTAGATTTTTTCAAAAAAAAAATTATTTCCCTTGTCTTATGTGCTGTAGATCATTACAAGTGTTTCCTATGCGCAGTAGATCAGTACAATTGTTTACTATGCGCAGTAGATCCTATATCAAATATTTATCATGCGCCGTTGTTTATTCTTTTTAGTTATTTTGATGTGCAATAAATCGTTTAAAAAAAAAATTCTCATGCGCAGTAGATCATTACAAGTGTTTTTATGCGCAGTAGATCAGTACAATTATTTACTATGCGCAGTAGATCCTATCAAATATTTATTATGTATCGTTTGATTATTCTCTTTTAGTTACTTTTATGTGCAATAAATTGTTAAAAAAAAAATTTCTCATGCGCAGTAGATCATTACAAGTGTTTTCTATGCGCAATAGATCAGTACCAGTGTTTTATATGCGCAGTAAATCATTTTTCAATTAATTTTACACATAAAAAAATATTTAAAATTTATTTCCTCACGGAGAATAGTATTTTTCTATTATGTTCAATGTCTTTTTTTTTGTATGCGCAGTAGATCTTTTTTTTTTGTTGTTTCCATGTGCAGTAGATCTTTATGAATTATTTTTATGTAATTAGGATATTTTTTTTTTTGTTATTTTCATGCGTAGTAAATTAGTTTTCGATTATTTCCATACGTATAGTATATTTTTCAACTTGTCCCATGCGCAATAGATCAATTTCGACCGTTTTCATGCGCAGTAGATCGTTTTCAATTGTTTTCATGCGCAGAATGTAATTTTTCTATATTTTGCCGTTAAATTTCATGCGCAGTAGATCATTTTTCACCGTTTTCATGCGCAGAGGGTATTTTTTCACATTTTACAGTCAAGTTTCATGCGCAGTAGATCGTTTTCGATTGTTTTCATGCGCAGAGGGTATTTTTTCACATTTTACAGTTAAATTTCATGCGCAGTAGATCATTTTTGACCGTTTTCATGCGTAAAGGGTATTTTTTCACATTTTACAGTTAAGTTTCATGCGCATTAAATCATTTTCTATTGTTTTCATGCGCAGTAGATTATTTTCGACTGTTTTCATGCGCAGACGGTATTTTTCCATATTTGCCAGTTAACTTACAATGCGCATTAGATCATTTTTGACCATTTTGTATGCGCAGATGGTATTTTTCAGTTCTGTTTCATGCGCAGTAGATCATTTTCGATCATTTTCATGCGCACAATGTATTTTTTACAATTTTTTCTATGCGCAAAAGTGATTTTTCAATTCTTTGAATAATTAAATCAACAATTTTCACCTTTCAACTAGCGTAATAAATAAGAAAAAAAAATTGTCAAAAAATAATAAGTTTATTTGAATACTAAACAAACGTGTAAAATCTTCATACAATGTTAAAATGAAAACTTATTACTGTTTGTAGAAAAATAAGAAATAAAACGAAACGAAGCACGTCACATCCTTTTCTCTCTCTCTCTCTCTCTCTGTTTTTTCTCAATGGCTCATCTCACTTTGCTCTTAGCTTCATGGCAATATTATTCCGCGAATTCCAAGCAACACGCAGTTAACTAGATCTTTTCTCTCTCTCTCTCTCACTGTGGTTTCCTCAAGTTCGCGGGAGTGAAACACTGTGACAAGAGAGAGAGAGAGAGAGAGAGAGAGAGAGAGAGAGAGAGAGAGAGAGAGAGAGAGAGAGATCAATCGTACAAGAAAGTGAAGACAAAAAAAAGGTGGGGGGAAGGTTAAAGATATAATAATCTATAGAAATTGAAAAGAGATAGAGTATATAGAGGAAGAGAGAAAGATTTTCTTGAAAGAAACTGCATGGACCGCGACGTGATGATATAAAAGGGGGAGGGGGTACGGTGGTTGCCAAGGGAGTAGCTCTGATGAAGCTAGTGGAACGAGAGTGAGGATAAATGATGAAGATACAGGGCAAAAATGGGAGAATGGTAGCAAAGGGGAAAGGAAGGGAAGGGGGGGTGAGAAAGACAGGATGCTGTGCCGTCACGGTAGACTAGCCTCCGGACTTGAATCCTTGGGGTCCCTCTCTGGCTATCGCGCGCTACATTTCTTCCTTCACTCTTCTTCGATTCATTCACCCTATTTCTCTCTCTCTCTCTCTCTCTCATAATTCTCTCTTTCTCTCTCTTTTTCTCTCCTGTTTCTATTAAAAAATTTCGTCTCTCTCTCTCTCTCTCTCTCTCTCTCTCTCTCTTTTGTTTCTATTTAAAAAATTCAGTTTTTTTTCTCTCTCGCGACAAAAGAATATAAATTCTCCAAAAATCGGTTTTTTCAACAAAAAAAAAAAAAAAAAAAAAAAAAAAAAAAACAAACCAAAACAAAAAATTGCAATTAACACACGTGACTTTTTTTTTCTTAAAAAAAAAAAAAAATTCTTAACGCTTTACAGAAATCGGTTAACGTCATTTTTTTTTTTTTTTCTTTATAATTTCTACATACATATATATACATATAATACGAGTAAAATAAATGACTTTCCCGATTAAAAATTTTCTCACACTCTTTTGAGAGTCTGCGGAATCACGGTTAAATATTTTTTTTTTTTTTTTTTTTTTTTTGTTCCAAAAAGAAGAGGAAGAAGAGAGAAAAAAAAAGTTCCGATTTTCCCCGGATCGAAGTTAATTAAACGGTGCAATTAATCCGTGACTGCGTTCTCGTTTCGAAAAATTTTTCGGGTTCTTAATTACCAAGGAAATGAGTATAGTATATATACGTGACTAATATGTTACTAATGTTATAAAATATAAAGTATATATATATATATTTATATATATATAACACAATGTGGGTGAACAAACGTTAAAAGGCGATAAAAATTGTGGGAAAAAAAATTTTAACCTTGAAAATGTACAATAAAATAATAATAATAATAATAATAATAATATTTTGAATTTATCACTCGGAAGCACTTAATAATAATAATAATCAAAATAATAATAATAATAATAATAATAATAATAATAATAATAATTAATAGTAATAATAATAATAATTAATAATAATAATCATAGTAATAATTTTAAAATGTACCTCACACTCCCTCAAGAAAAAAATCGCCTTTTTTCAATATTTTAAAAACCAAAAAAAAAAAAAATTAATTTATAAATAAAAGAAAAATAATTATCAAATGAAAAGTAAAATAATAATAATAATAATAATAATAATAACAATAATAATAATACTAATAATAATAATACTAATAATAACAACAATAATAATAATAATAATAATAATAATACTAATAATAATAATAATAATAATAATAATCAACAACAAGTCTTTTTTAAATTATTACCAACCATGAGGGGGAGGATGAAGGGAGGAGGGGGGGGGAGCTAGAAACTGGTCCTAAATTTTTCTTACCTGATTTTTTGGGACCGCAAAAAAAAAGGGGAGCAATCACATTGGGCACTTAGAGTAGAATGGGGAGGGGGGGGGGTGAGGGATTAGCACGAGACGAGAACCTTTTGCTTATAGATATATATATATATATATATGTATTACAATACTAGAATCGACCTAAAGAAAAGTGGTTGTTGAATGGTTTGTGTTTTACAACAGTGGCAGAAAACGAAAATCAGTGGCTTCGACCTTTCTTTTCTCTCTCTCTCTATCTCTCTCTCTCTTTTTCTATCTCCGTTAACAATTTG